AATAAACATTGATAGGTTGTTGTTTCTTCTTCCCTCACTCCCTCCCCCTCTAGTCTCCTTCCTTTTTTCAATCTTAAGTAAGATTACACAGTGTGCCGGCCAGCCTATGAACCAGGAGGTCACGGTTCCATTCCACGTCAGGGCACATGCCCTGGTTGTGGGCTTAATCCCCAGTAGGGGGTGTGCAGGAGGCAGCCGATAAATGATTCTTGCTTATAAATGAGACACTGCAAATATGTTTACCACTTCTGATATTTGGCCATAAAGCTCTCTTTGTCCTTCTAGTGGGTATAAACACTCTATGCTTTCTCTATTTTTTCCACAATCAACCCTCTGGGCCTCATGTAAGCTTACCCAGTTAATTTGGACCGCCATCAGAAGCTTAAAATTGCAGTGTTCTCTTATAATTCAAAACCCAATAAATTAAAAGGGAATTTATATTGCAAAACAGATAAGGGGTAATTGGGTTTCAAAATTCAGCTTCTAAAAGTGTCTTGTGTATATTCTTTTCATAGAAAACTTTTTTTCCTTTTTTTTTTATTAAGATATTATATGTGTACATATCTTACCATTGCTCCCCCGCCCCCAGCATTTATTTTATTAGCAGAAAAGCTTCAGGTTTATCTCAAAGAACTTAAAATTTAAGAGTTCTTTCCAATTAAATACAAATCAGAAATTACCATAAAGTACAGCTGAAATTACTGCCTAAAATGGAATCATTTGCAAAAAAAAAGTAATTTGTAAACAAAGATGTGTCTTTTGCATAAAGTGAGGTCTTTGTGTAAAATAGATTTTCAGCTTGTCTGTAGAAAGGCCAGACGGACTCCAAAAGGAAATCCCTGAGTTCTGCTTGGTGTCAGATGCATCCAGGTTAAAACAACACACTGCCTCCGGCCTGTCCCAGGGCAGCAAAAGCAACCAAAATTGCCTCCGGAGCTGTCAATGCAGAGAATGCTGTACTAGACTGAACATGGGGGGAAAACTGGGACAAATGTTTTTTAATGTTTGCCTAAGGACAGAACTTTTATAAAATTAGTTCATTGTTTCTAATAAATATGTAATACTATTTCTTTGTTTTATACTATTATTATTTTGGTTTAGGCTCCTATTGGGGGGGGGACAAGGCAGATCAGACAAAATTATCATCCATTGGGTGTAGAGAGAGGTGTGAGTATTGGGGGGCAAGGAAAGGTTCAAATAAAAGTTCAAGTAACTATGGAACTGTTAAGATTTGACTGCTCTGCAGTGGGACAGTGTAAAACATAGATTGATGTGAGTTGAACAAATGCTTGGTGTTTCAAAATTGCACATAGAAATAAAGGGTAAGCTTTTTAAAGGAATCAGGTTATAACATTCACTCCCCAAACTTGGTTTTTGTTGGGGATGGGGCATCCTGATAGACTGGAGAAGTCCTGAGGGTCCCTGGGGGGCTACAAGAAGAAGTTCAGGCAGAACAAATGAGTCTGCTCTGAGGATTCAGACTAGGGCAGCTGGAGTCACCGTGGCTGTTAATGTGGAGCAAACTGACACCAATCCCATATAAAGCCACTGCAAAGAATCGGCTCAGAAATGGGGCCAATCTATCACTGTCTGGTTGAGGAGAGATGAGCAGTGCTTATTCATAGTAGAAATCTTTACTCCTCCCCATGTTATTTGCTCTAGCAGTTTATGTGGAGGCGTATCCCTGTAGTTTCCACAGTCTTAAAAATCTATGTCTAAAGCTCTGTGTCTCTTGCCGTCCAAGCGAGTGGTAACCAAGTGACCACATAGCAAGAGTATATTCTGAAGGAAAAATGACCCCACTTTTTAAGTGTTAGCCTTAGAACACCTGGATTTGGGATAAAGGGAAATTTTATAACGGGAGCAAACCTGGTGGGCCGGTCAGGTTGCGTTCTGAGATGACCGGGCATGTTTGAGCTCATCTCCTCCTGAGCCTGCAGGTGCATGGGCTTGTCTGGGTGTGAGGGTGCCCTGCTCCTAGGAAATGAGCAAGTTAAAGAATGACCCTCCAGGAGGTTTAGTACAATATATTGTTGTATAAGCAGCTTTCTCCTCTTGCCTTCCCTTCCTAATTTACATTCTTCCGGGTCTGGTTTGAGGAGTTTTCAAGAGATGTGATTAGCTTGACTTGCAGGAAACTTGCAAGGGGTTGCAGGGTAATGATGTGTCAGCTATGAACTCATTCAGCTCATCTGAAGGAAATTTTTAGAGCAGGAAAGGGCCAGATTCAGAGGTGCTGACTTGTGAAACGTGGTGGTAAGTGCATTTCTAGCTAAAGGAGCCAAAAGTCTAGTGCCCTAATCATGCAAAGGAAAGGAGGCGATGACCGGCAAACGGAAAAATTGAACAACAACAAAACATTTACTCATCTGTATCATCCATGCCAGAGGTTCTCCTCTGTCATCAAAATCAGGAAAGCAGAGGGCAGATGTCTGGCAGCATCTGACTCAGGGATGGAAGGTCTAAGGAAGAGGCCACATTTGACTAGGAGCCACATGATCACAACACAGGTTCGTGGAGAGCAGCTAGGGCTGGGCTTGAAACTCACTGCTGAACAAATCACCAGTAGGTCTGTGAGCCCAGACTCAGAGAGAATGGTTTCCTGTCATTAATTCATTCACTTATTCATTGCGGCTGTGTGAGCATCTATTAAATTCAGGGCACTCGGGAGAGCTGGTGTAACAATTCTATCCTCCCTGAGCATATAACTTAATATTCTAGTTACTAGGGTAGAAAAACAAATTAACCCAAAATTTAGTGGAGGAAGACAACGGTTTATGATGCTCATGGATTATATGGGTCTGGAATTCACTTAGGGCTCAGCAGGGACAGCTTGTCTCTGCATCATGGTGTCTGGGGACTTCCGGGGGGAAGATTCAAAGGCTGGCGGCTGGAATCATCTAAAGTTTGTTTGCACACTTGTCTGAGGAATGGTGTTGGTGGTTGCTGTCAGCTGTGACGCTGTAACGTTAGCTGGGTGATTGGCCCAAACTCCTACACGTAGTCTCTTCATGTGGTCTGGGCTTCCTCACAATATGGTGGCTGGGTTCCAAAGAAGGGAGCTGGAGAGGGAGAGCCACAAAGAGACCATGTCTGTTTTAGTCACCTACCCTCACAAACACAGATAGCATGAATTCTGCTGAACTCGATTGGTCAGCATGGTCACGGACCCTGGAGAAATTTGAAGGGAGAGAAAATCAACCCCAAATATTAGTGGAGGAAAGCTAGTTATGATAAATGAAAAGCAGATAGGTATATATGTATATAAATGTGTATATATGTGTTCATATATAAAATCTATCACATTTAATAAGAGTGGAAGAAAAATTGCCACAGCTCAAAATAAAAAGTGATGCATTTTGTGATTACTTCATAAATGATGGCACAAAGATTCATACAACTGAAAAGATATTGATGAAAGCTAACACCTGAGCACTGTTTTCTAAATTTGAATCATGCCCACTATCTTTACTGTTATTATTTGTACTGTTGTGCCCTTACTTTTTTTTTTTCTTAAAATTGACCTACTCAAGTTTGTTTTAAGAGCAAACTAGACAGTACTACCAAAATAAGATTTATTTTTTGCCATGATTTATTTGCCATAAAATAAAAGCAACCTTAGATATAATAAAGGTAAAATAGAACAGTTAATAGATACTAAATAGACGGATGTCTGTTGAAGGAGCTGAGGCTGAAGGGACACCTCTCTTTGTCAAAACACACGCTGGCAGGTGTTAGAAAGGTGTTAAATCACACTCAGACAAAATTGAGGCTCTCCCCTTGACTTACTCTGAAAGATTGAAAGAGAAGTGAAAGCAAATGATCCCCGGTGAAAAGGTCAGTGATATTTATGGCCAGGTCTGTGTACCTCCCAACAGCTTTTAAAGAACTATCAATATTATAATCCTACTTTGTTGGCAAACACTGATCCGAGGGATAAAAATAATAGATAGCTGGCTAGCTGGCATAGCTCAGTGGTTAAGCATCGACCAATAAACCAGGAGCTCACGGTTCAATTGCCAGTCAGGGCACATGCCTCAGTTGTGTGCTTGATCCCCAGTAGGTGTGTCTAGGAGGCAGCCGATCAATGATTATATTTCATTTCTATCTCTCTCTCCCTCTTCCTTCCTCTCTGAAATTAGTAAAAATATATATTTTTTTAAAAAAATAGGTAGTTAAGCATTTATATAGGTTCAAGCAAGATCCTGGGATCCATGAGGAGGACCAGTGTCTAGCACAGTTAATTGCTAATAATTTACAAATGTATTTGTAACCTGCCATCTGTCAAAGGCTGGGGGTCCTTGTACTTCTGCTTGGTTTGGTTTTCTAAACACCTCCTTGAAAGGTCCAGTGAGCAGAAAAGGGACTTGGCTAGTTGGCTTCTACAGAAGCTCTAGCTGCTCCCAGTACCTTATTACCTTTCCCCACATGCTGGCAGAATTGACTTCTTGCTTCCTCACTGGGGCATAACTAATGTTCCTAGACTTTATAGAACCGCCTTCAGTGCAGAGCTGCCAGACCAACCTGCACTTTTTTAGTATGCAGTATTTCTGCAACATTCATTTTAGAAATAATTATTAGCATCTGCCAGGACCAGTGTTGTACGAGGCCCTGGAGATACCAGAGGACAAGCGGTGGGCACTTTCTTGGAATACAGAGAAAGACCACTTGGGGCAGCTATTTTCCCCCCTAAAGTTTAATTAATTGCTTAGCAACACCATTGCCTTATTGTCGGAGCATTCATCAGAAAACACTGCTTCTTGGGGATTTTTCCCAGTCGAGATGATAACTTGAGGATAGATGGGCTTCCCGCCCGGAGCTTTTCTTTCTGGTTTCCGGGGGTGTGGAGAAGATCTGCTGAGGTTAGGAGGACAAGGGCCAGGTATTTATGTCTGGGGACTCCAGCCAGCAGCCTTGACTGCACTCAGGACTCCTAATAGTAGTGCCTTTCTAGGCATGGGCTGGCTTTAACAGACCTGCTTTTCCTTCTCTATTTATAGTCATCTACGGTGAAGCTGTCAAAACCAGTGGCTCTGTGGACTCAGCAGGATGTCTGCAAGTGGTTGAAGAAACATTGTCCGAATCAGTACCAGATCTACAGCGAGTCATTCAAACAGCATGACATAACTGGTAAAGTATGCGGCTTCCAGAATATTTCATGCCCTCCCCGCTTCGAGATGGCCTTTCTCATACCCTTGCAATGAGACAGCATCTTTGTGCTGAAATTTTCTGGCTTGGGTTTCCTTTAAAAGGGAGTAGTCAACTCCAGATCCCAGTGAGCCATGCCACTTAGCAAGCATATGACATTGTTGTAGAGAAGCATGGATTTCACGTGTCCAATGTAAAAATATGTGGAAATCAGGGTAAGGGGCTCAGGGATTTTAAAGAAAAATAAAAGCAATCCTAGAGAAAAGAAAAGGAAGGCGGCTATCAAATCAATTTGGTTACAGGATCAATCAGTAAATATTCTAAGTAGGAAAATTCTGAAGTAAATAGAATATTACTAACTCATTACCCCTGAGATGAATACCTTCAAACACAATTTAAGACTTCGTTAGAGCTTAATGCTCTAACTGCCCAGCCTCTTTACAAACTCTTCCTCGCTATCTTCTGAAATCTAACCTTTCTCTATAGTTTCTATTTGCTCCTGTTACTTTGGAAAGAGGTGCATTAAGCAGAAGGTATTTAATTTTGCAGTTCAGTGTTTGCCTTGTAACTCTGAGAACTGAGGCAGATCCTACCTTCCATAGGGCAGGACTTAATGGGTGGTTTCGAAATGTGCTCCTTGGAGCCCGTAGATACACTCCAGGCAGCCCAGGGGATAGGAGTGTGCTGTGGGTAGAGGTGCGCATGTCAACCAAAGCAGCTCCCTTGTCTGTTTTATATGTTCAAATTCTATAGAAAACTAGAATTGGAACAACCCTGAGGTTTAAAATCGCTAAACTACATTATCATGGAGTCCTGGTGACCAAGTGGATAATAAGTATATAAGGAACACACCCAAGGGTAGCTCAAGCTGAGTTAACAGAGCATAAAATACCTCCCAACTTAAGCATAAAAAAGGTCCTTAATTCACTTCCTCTCTCCCCTCAACTGGAGGTAATGGCCCATTTGGATAACATCCCTGAAATCCTGAGGACAGAGGTGGAACTTTGCTTAGAATTCAAGTGTTAGATTATATTTCTCAGTTCCCTCCCTTAAGAACATAAGAAAATCCTGTGTAAGGTCAGCTGTTCCGCCCCTAAAAGTGATCCGTCACTTAGGAACCATTTGGCTGATTATGGTAGCCTTCATCAGGTAATGTCCGCTAATGTTTCTTAATGCCTGTGATGGCCAGGGCAAAGCCTTTTCCGTGATCTTATTTGAGAGTAGTGTTCTCTTTCATTAAGGGTGAGAATTATGAGGTACCCTTGAGGGAAGGGTAAGCATTTATAATGGTTTGAAGAGAATGATCATATTGCTCCTCGGAAATGAAGATCTCATGCTTCAATGCACGTGGAGCAAATGGTCCCACTTCCCAAGCCTTTCTGCTGAGTGACAGGAGGAAAGGGGGTGTGGGGCAGAGAAGGGTATTTCAAACAGCCATCCTGTTCTTTTCTGAGGCACCCGGGGTCTCTGTGGAACACTGCCAGCAGTGTCCTTGGGTCCTTGGGTCCTTGGGCAAGACCTGGCAAGGATCCTGAGCAAGTTCTTTAACCCCACATCCTCATCCCGAAAATGGAGGCACTAATAGTACCTGCCTCATGGTATCATTGTAAAAGTGAAATGCGATAATATAAGTATAGCCATTTATTGACACCTTTTTCATGCCGGCATTGAGCTATTATTTAGGTCACGTTTCATCAAGACGTGTCTAAAAACATACCATGACTTCATTCTAAGCCCTTTTCTGGCAAGAAAAGAAAGGGACTTATTTGGGGACTTTAGGGATCAGAGGTAATGACTTTAGATGAATATTCGGTCCACTTCTTTTTGACACTCCCCTATTGGAGGCCTCAGAAGACCACTCCCCTCTCCTGTTCTCTGGGCCAAGATAGAATGTAACATTCCCAAGTAATCACAAGTGCCAAGTGCCCAGAATTAGCTCTCAGAACTTGGGCCAGCCTGCAGTTACCAGCTCTGTGGTGCTGGGAGCTGAGAGAAGCCTAGTGCCCTTTGAGTCTATCATCCACAAAGCAGAGAGGCTAATAAAATGTCAGGACGTGTTGACAGAGCCCACTTCCGCAGTCTGTGCAAACATAGAGTGACTTAGGGACAGGTCAGAGCAGTGGGTGCTGCGACCAAGCTCTGTGATGTTGTGAAGGTTACTGGATGCACTGTGGCTTTCTCTGACTATAAAAAGGGGATGAGGATCGTCTCCACCTGACAGTGTTGCTGGGACAGCGGTTCCCTGTCATTGTAAGCATGCAATGAATGTCAGCTGCTGCTGTTTTCTGAGGTGCTGTCCTGACTTCTATGAAAATCAACAACCCATAGAAACAGTGTTGAATCCATCAATCTTTATTCTCATGGAAAGTGGGAAATGAGCACCTACGCAGGGAAGGGAGATAATCCAGGCTGGTAACTATGCTGTGCTTGTCTGCAAGGCTGCAAGAGAGATGCTCATGTGTCTCTTATGTAGGCTTAGATTCTCCTGAGTAATGCTGTTCCCTTGTCCTCCTGATAGCCAGGATCTCCAGTATCATCCTCATCAAGGAGGTGCGGTATATCAATGTGACATGTAAACAGTCTCTTAATTTAGAGGCAAATGATATAGTGGATGTAAATAAAAATAACATGCTGGGTCAGACCCTTCCATCTTGTCCTCCACCCCCCAACCTTGGACACATAATAGCTGTGCAATGTCACACAAGTCTCTCATCAGGGAAATGACAATGATATTCATCTCACAGTGTTACTGAGAAAATTAAATGGGATGATGCATGTGAAGGGCCTAGCTTAGTGCACAATGGACATTTATCCATTTAGCAAGTAATTATAAAACCTCTACCCTGTACCAGGTTTGGGGAAGATAGCAATCAATAAGATTGTCAGTGGTCTGTGGAGGTGGAGAAATTGTGCTTCCGTGGAAAACGATGCATCGCCAATAGCACACTGTTTGGGACGATCTCATTCCTTGTCTACAGAGTTGGTGTAGAGCTCTGTAAACTGACAGCGATACAAAGATCATTCTTGCTGTAGACATGTAAATCTTGTCGCACAGTTTCAGGTGATGTCCCTAGCTACTGTGGGAAAGGTGAGTTTTGCCTTCCATGTACACATTCATGTTTTACCCTTCTGGTTCTATAACTACGTCCGCTGTTGAGATCCTCTTTTGAACTGGTGGTGACATCATTTTCCTCATTAATGAGTTCAATAAAATCTCAAACCATGTGCTCACTTTTGCATTGACGAGAGTCATAACTTTTACTTTCTTTGGAAACGTAACCTTTCACCTTAGTAGTTTAGTTTTTTTTAATTTATGTTTTAGCCCGTAATTTCACTATGTCAACATTTTCTGATTGCCTTTGTTTATATACCAAGCAAACTTTGCCCCCAGTTTCTCCAAAGTCTAACACACTGACGATATGCTTCAAACTACCAGCGTGCAAAAACAAGAAACAAAACAAAAAACCTTTGGCAAATTTTCTGTTCGAAGATCTGCGAACCGCATTGTGTCCAGAAGGTACCTGCTATTTTGTGGCAGATGTGTTTAATCAGAAGAGAAGCTGCTGGTGTTAACTCCCCGCAGAAGAGCTCTTAAAAAGGCATAAGATGGTTAGAACACCTGAGAGGCATTAGGGGCCATAGATTTAAATCATCAGATTAGGCTTGAAGGAGAGAGATTTGTCTATTTTCCTGTGCTTGCGAGATTTCTCTCCCCAGCTCTCAGAGGCCAGGCTTAGCATGCTGATGAGGAAGCTCGCTGGGCCCAGGTGTACGCTCCCAGACAGCTTTTCAGATTCTCTTTTATGCACAGTTAAAGAATCTTTTCAGGTCTGAGGCGTCCAACCCTTGGTGGTGCCTGATATTCTTCCCGGGGTGGCTGTTAGAGTCACCTCACCACCTCCTTCAGCCTCACATCCTCCATCCGCAAAGGGTTCTTTCCCCTGCCAGCGTTCAAGACATACGTTCATGGGTGAAGCACTCCGACCTCCCCAAAATACAAAGCATTTTTAAAGCTATTTTGAATGTGTAAAAGGTTTTTGAGTTGGCTGCTTTGTGAACAGCAATAGGAATCCTTTTGATATCTAGGTGCATACAAGAATAAACAGTTATCATATGGGTATCCCCTGCAAAATGGTCAATATTGATCTGTCCTATTTCTCAATGGTCTCCTACCAAGGAGATGAGTATTTCTAGTCCATTTTGTGCTTCAAGCACTGCTCATTTATACCTCTTTCCCTCTTCAAAATACTCTGCTGAGATGCAGCCCCTGGGATGTGGCAGTTCTGCTTATGCTGTTGAATAAAGGGGAAGCCTTTTTTCTCCTTTTCAGGCCTTCAGACCGCGGCTCTGTGTATTTGCTAACACCGTTCCCATCAGTGGGGACTTCTCCGAGCTTTTCCACCCCTTTATTCTTGTGCTGTTTTGTCTTTTATTATGGTTAGAGTTCCCCATGGAGACCAGTGGGGTGTGTAGTTAACAGGTGTCAAAAGAAGTAGAATAATTACTTTGTGTGATGCACCTGTGAGAATACTACTTATAGAATCCAGGTTAGCCAAATAAAGTGCGGGCATATTTACCACTGCGCCTCATCTGCAGACTTTCTTACCTTTATTGGTTTTCCCCTCTGGATATTACGTTCTACTTTTCTACATCTTTGTATTTTTGTTACAATTCTGTTTTGTCTGAACTGCTCTACATTTTTTTCTTTATTGAACCCTAAGCAGCATAGGGAAGTGTCTGACATCACCAGGGCCTACATTTCCAATAATGGAATTCTCCAGGAACATAAATTTCTCTTTGTTCCTAACCCCTCCATCCCTACGTGGGCATCTTTCTCCTGTTGTGCTGAGAAATTATAAACTATCTGGTGAGATAACCCTACAATTTTAACCTCTAGTTCATCTATGTCCTCCTTTATCCTCTTGCTTCAGAAAACGTGGCCTTGTTCCCTTCTCTAGGCAGACCTTGGACATATTGCAGGT